TACCCTCTTTCTCTTTAAGACTTTGTGCATGCACACAGTTTCTGCTTCATAACTATGTCTAACAAGCAAGTTGCGAGCAGGAAGCTCTGTCTCAGAAGTAGGAAAAAACAGAAACCTGAGAAAATGTCCTAGAAAAGATTAATTAGAGACAGAAGAAGAAGAATAAACTAATTTTTGCTATGTGCCATTGCCAGTCTGCAAGAGATACTATCAAATTGCCATAGAAATTAACTAGCTCATTTTCTTCAGTTTTTAAGTTAAGCAAATACTAGAACTAACACAACTTTTGCTGGAATAATGAAATCATTGTTATCCCTCATCCAGAAGACCCTCATAGTGCCTTAACAAAAAAAAACCAAAACCAATCCCCAACCAAATTAAATCTACTCCCCATAAGACAATATTTTATACAGTAATGCTGACAACCAAAATGCAGCTACTTCTCAGCTGCTTAACAGCTCAGCATTCAATACATTCTTGTCATGTACACACCCACGCACAAAACACCAAGTGGATAAAACAGAAAAAAAAATTGTGGGCAAAATGAGTCAATCCAAACCAGAACCTGAGCAGACCCCTTTATTTTCTTTGAAGTGATACTTCATTCAGAAAAACATCACACTGGATTTAGCTATTACACTGATGTCTGCAGGGTAACAGTACTGATCAGCAATGATGTTTGGTAAGAATGGAAGTAAAACCCTGGAGGACCAAGGGGGAGACAATAGAGCTTGCACTCCTTAGGACCGTATCAGTGCAGGCAGAAAAATCCACAATTATTCTTGCAAACAGAAAAATCCATGGGAACTAACAATCACCCACCCCCCAAAAAAACCAAACCCACACCTACTCACACAATATACTTATTTTAATCCCTTTTTTCCCAGCTGAGGCTGTTTTAGACAGTCAAGAGACAGCTCTGCCTGGATAACCTAGAGATTTTATAACTCTGCTCCCCGTTCCATTTAGATGGGGAGGAAAACAGCTATGACTCAAAGCTGTACCTTAAGAGGAAGCTGACTATTACACTCCTCATTGCCCACAACTCTAGGAGGTTGAAGACATTTTTCAAGAGACCATTTCCCCTGAGCTACATGAAATTCTATCTAAAACAAAAACCCAAACAAAAAAACAACAACAACAAAACAACCATCCATGCAGTCTTGTGTACACCTTCTCATAAAGTAAAGTACACCTTCCTAGCTATCTGTCTTAAAGAAATTTGCAAACAGATGCATGGTTTCAGCAAGGGAGAAGAGTTTTGTGCCACAGGGATAGGGTTTTCTTATGGAAAGAAAATTACAGTTATTTCAGCCTTTTTTTCTGGTACTGAAAAAATAAAATTCCTGGCTTGGGTAAATCAAAGCTTGGGCAGTGCTCAAAATCTCCTGTAATAAACAAACTCAGATTCATTTAATGTTTCTGTACTAAGAACAATACTGTGTTCAAAAGGCTTTTCACCTGCACCACACCAAGCACTCTGCTTCACAAATCTGAACTGGAATCAGATTCCTATGGAAATTATACTGGTATCCAAAGCTCAAATTTTTATTAGATAAGTAGGTGCTTTCCAGCCTTCTCAAATGAGACAGTGACACAGCCATCGAGTAAGGTAATTGACTGAACACCTCTTCAGTTGCTATTTGTACATTCTTAGCAACCTCGGAGAGTAGCAACAGCATCAAATTGTGGGAAAAGGCATTAAAACTAACCACACACACATGCTACAAGACAGAAGGTGGTTTTTGATCTTGTGGTCAAAAAGATCTTTGGAAAAAGTACTAAACCCAAAGCCTGGTTCAACTGAGAACTGAAGTAGTAAAATGGGGACAGAGGGCAAGTCCCAGTACTCACATGAACCACAACAGCCACTGATACTGTGTTTCCTTGGGTATGTGACTGACAGCCATCACAGACCTTTCACAAAAAAAATCAACAGTTAGTTTGCATGCTTGTACTGTACAATTTTAGGTGACAATACTTTCAGGAAAAGGGATGGATCCATCATTTACACAAAGAATGAGACGTGAAGAAACTCAAAGGGACAGCTTTTCCAAACATTGTCACTGAAAGAAATACTTTGAGCTCAGTGTCTGATCCACTTGGCAATTCTCTGCAAACAGACCGTCTGGCCTTTGGATGAACCAAAAGTGGTCACAAAGCGAGACAGATGAAATGCAGAAAGTAGTTTCCTCTCTCCCATGAAAACATATCCTCAGGAAAAAGATCAGTAACTGATTTCAATAAAACCCCTAAGATTTACCCTAAGAATTTCAACACAGTCATTATAAACTGACCTTTCCTTGGCCTGGTATCCTGAATGCGGGTGCCATTATACAAGCACAGGCAGTTTTGCCTGGACTGTTAAGGCAGCACAGCTCCTAAAACGCGTTAGTGTCACCTCCCAAGAACTTTGGCAGTTACTAATTCAGACCCCAGTCAAATTTCAGTTTTCTTCCACAAAGAGTAAGAAGTAACGATGAATAGTTCCAGCCATTTTCACTTTTTCTGCCCTTGGAGAGGAGCGGTAGCAAGCACAGGGCTTACATGCGCAAATGCAAGGTTGATGTCGAGTTGAAAGAAAAGTCAAAAAGTCGAAAGAAAAATTCCCTTCTCATTCATAGCACATGTGCATCTACTCTAGATTCCAGTGATGACAAATATTCAGAAATGGGCACTGATGTAGAACAAAATGAGTCCCACAACCAGTCTAAAACTTGAGAGGGCTATATTGGCACTTTAAAGAGGGAAAAATAAATTGAAGGAAGACTTACTATGATTTACTTTCCTTTATAATCTAAACTAATTTCTATATCCTAGTATATATCCTATCTATTGCTTTAATCCTCTGATATACTGCTTAAACAGAGACTCAGGCTCTAGCAGTCCCATCTCACATAAGTATTTTGGTATTATTTCTCTGACAAACTCCAGTGGTACACTGACTTTTCCTTCAAATCTTCGTTTAATCTCAGGGAATTCTCTCACAAAGTTTACAACGTACATCTCTCAAACCAATTCAGAACTGGATTTAATGTTTTAAGTAGTAATTTTTGCAGTAGCAATTTGACAACAGATTTTTGGCATTTTGCAGATCTGCCTTTGCACATTTTCAAATAAGTTATTTCTTTCTCCACAAGATGCATCTTGGTTCTAATTTACCCACTGTACATCTTACATGTTCTTATTCACCAAACTCACTCATTCTCACTTTAAAATACAGAAATGTGTGTTGCTAATACTGTCAAAATCAATGCTATATCAAACTGCATTACTGAGAATGAAACAATAATACGTCATAAACTTTTCTTTTTTCCTAATCTTAGTCTGAATGAGCCAGGTTTTGTACAGTTGACTTTTCTGAAGCAGGATACTTTTCCCTGGTGCAGATAAACACATCAAATGGAGTCTTCTAGAATGACCAAACACACGCCAAGAGCATTTGGGTTTAGCTCCCATTATTAACAAAGCAGCCCCCTCCCCCCAAGAAATTATTGAAATAAAAAATAAACATTAATCAAATGTTTTAAAAGTATTAGCAAAGCAATGACTGCAGACTACACAGATGTGGAACAGACAAGGACTTCTGCTATCAAATTTCTAACTACAGTTAGTGCCAGATAGTATTGGGAAGATAAAGATAAGAGAAGTTTTTTACTGGAGAGACATCCACCATGCACCCAAGTTTCTTTCCACTTAAGTTTCCAAATCCGTTGAGAGTCAGGACCAATGCCTACCCGTAACAGAAAACAGATTCTAGTGACAGAGCCACAACAAACAATTTGCTGGACACTTTTGTTGCAGTCTAGAAGCTGCAACATGAACCTGCAGACTGTAGTCATCCTGTCCAACTTTGACAGAACCTTTGACCACCACTGACTTTAGCACTTAAGATGTATTTTCACAGTGAGACAGATATTTCAAGGTTTACTTTACTTTTGTTTCAGACCTGCAGCAGAGCCTGTGGGCCCAAAAGGCAGCTCTTTTCCTTTTTAAATCAACTGATGTGGCTGGGGGAAGTGAGAGATAATACCTCTTCTTACAAATGGCCTCACTTAGGTACCTAGTGGGATTTTTAAAAGATTCAAGAAAGTTATCCTGTGTATTTCAAGTAATTTGGGAAAGCTAAAAGAAAACCAGATTTAAGAAAAAAAAAGAAGATACACCACTCCCCCCCCAACATTGTCAGAGTGAAGACTGGGTTAAATGTAAATTCAGTTTAAATTAAGTGAAGAAGTTTCAGTGACTTTAGTAATGATATGATTCCATCCCTCCCCCCCTCCACACACACACTCCTCCCAGTAAAGCCAATTAAGTAGGAACTAAGCCATTCTTCCTACCACATCAGTAAGGCAACGGTGCTGCTAGTTCCAACAAAGCTCCCAAATACTCTGCTCATAGACTGTACTGGCCAACAAACAATCAGATCATTCCTGAATTAAGAAATACCCAGAAGCAATTCTGCGTAAATACTATTTTCTTTCAAAGCACAATGGAAAGTTGGCACGTACTGCATTTACCAGAACTGTAATCTGGTTTAAGCATGGGTTTATTTCAAAAATCTTCAGCTCTCACCTATAGGCTAGTCCGGAACCCTGTGAATCAGCAAATAGTTACTGTTTATTGGAAAGCTTCCTTCTTTAAGTCACCCTTAGTTCCTCTCAGTACTTTGCAGAACATGTGAAAAGAACTACACCATCAGCCTTCACTACATGCATCTGTCTACAACTGTCCAGAATACAGAACATGAAGCATTCAGGATGCAAAATTGAATTTTGATATATAGACCTCTAATAAATCAAATATTCTACAGACTACAGAAAATTTAAGTAAATAGCAGCTATATAACAGACAGCTTCTTTCAGGTATTTACAATACACTTAGTATCATGTCACGAGTTTAGGTATGCTTTTTTCCTTTGTCCTCTTCCAGATACTCACGGGTTTTAAAGTATCTCAAATAACCAGACATTTAAAGGAAATCAGACACTACACAGGTTAAACAACATGGTTCTATTAAAAACTATCTTTAACCATGGCACTCAGTGACAGCAATACAATACTTTTTTCCACAAAGCAACTAATATAAAAATATGCCATAAAATCATCTGTAGACTAGTATGCTTGTACATACATGTAATCATAACATTCTTTTATAAACTCTTTCCTGAGATACCTTGGGTTGTTTGATTTTCCTGTATTACTGGATGCATTATCTTTATGATTCATCTAAAACAACTGTAAAATATTTTGTATGTGCAGGGCACTCAGTAACATGTAAAAAGTAGTATGTAAATATATGGCAAAGAAACTACTCTTAGAAATTATGCGCTTTTTTACTTTGTTACATTTTTTTAACATTTGGCTCCTTGGGAGATGGAAAGGAGGAGCGTGAAAAACCTGCAATTAGAGCTATGAATTGACAAAAAGCAGGAAAGCATTCCAGGAATGTTAGGAGTTGGAATATAATATAAATGACACAAAAAGAAAGCCATAATTCATGTTGACTATGTATTGCCTTGTAAAGCAACTGGACATATTTTAGTCAGTTCACAGTATAATAAATATTTTTACTAATCTGTTTTGGAAGAGCAAATGTCTTTTAGGGTTTCAAGCTCCTCTATAAGTTTCTTGTTCTGAACTTCTAGCACTGCAACACGACTCTCCAGACATTTTATGTATTCTTTCTTCCGACGTCGACATTCTTTAGCAGCTTCCCTGCAAAAAGCAGAAGTAAAAAGTGCAAACAAAAAAGCCATTTGCATGCCATTAGAAAGCTCAGCAGAGTATGTAGACTATGACAGAATTCCAAATTTTGGAATATCTCCCAAATCAGTCTGAAAACACTAAGCAAAACTGGGTTCCACAAGGGCCTCAAGTGTCTCTTTCTCAAGTTCCTACGGCAATCTGTAGAATTGCTTCCTCTCATGCCTTGATTAAAGTTCATAATAAACGAGGTCCAAATGAAAGACAGTTATTCTGCTTTATGACAATAGAGATCTTTGAGGGCCTTGAGTTCCTCAATGAGAGTCTTGTTTTGGTTTTCAAGCACAGCCACACGATTTTCAAGACATTTGACATATTCTTTCTTCTTTCTGCGACATTCTCTGGCAGCTTCCCTGGAACCAATACAAGGCAAATGACTACAGGAACAGCCACAATACGGCAAAGACTGGATAAATTAAATTACCTGCAATCCCTTCAGTTCCACAATAACAACAACCACCACCAACTGTTGGATTGCACAAACAGAACAGCAGATAACAGCAATAAGCAATAACATGGTTAAAATACAATTCGAAACAACTAGAACTTGAAACAAATTCAGCATCAACAAATACAAAGATAGAATTAATACACAGAAGAACTGAGAAAGACAGTGAGTAAATGATAACGTATTGACTTGAGTTATACTAAACATTAAGACTGAAAGCAGCATTTCTTCTTCCAGTCACATTCTATTTTGTGTGTTTATCAGGAGTATTATCTTCTGCAATCAAAATCTTAAAACCCAACTCAAAGAATTTACTTTCAGAAAATACAAACATAATACTCCTCTCTTCATATAAAAAGCTGGATGCCAACCTTAGAACCTGCTGTAATTTTTTTACCTTAATGTAACAATCTACAGTAAAATTTAAGTCCAAACAAATACAATTTATTAGCATTTTAGAACTGTCCACCCGGGCACATTTCAGCCACATGTATCTGTGGTTTTTTTGTTGCTGGCAAATGGGAGTCTGGAGCCATTCTCATAGCTCTGATCAGAATTCTGTTACATTGAAGCTAAACACTTGGGGTAGTATTTTCAGAAGCATGTGACTGAACAAGCATTCCATTCCAGAAGAAATTTTAGAAGTACTGGAAGTCCACTCCTTAACATCTTGGAACACGAAGAATTGTCAAATTGCGAGAGCGTAAATTTCCAGCAAGTCATATGAGAGATAGCATAGACGCTAGTTTTAAAACTGAAGAGAGGAGAAACAAAAGGAGGCACAACAATGCAGCAATCCTCGTGAGTAATTTAAAATAAAGGACAGGCATGAGAGCAAAGCAATACCATGAATTCAATCGTAAGGCAAGTGGATACTCAATGTATTAGAGATCTGCATAGCAGACTATTTCTTCCATTACTCTAACTGCCACTGATAGCAGTGGCTACACATTTAAAGAAAGAAAGAGTCACCAAAGAATAGCAAGAAGAATGCAGAGAAAGACTGGCATTTACAGCATACAGTCAATTCCATGCCAACTAATGAAAAGAATATTCAGCCATCTCACACAATATGCCTCACAAAATGACAGGGGCACTGCACAATAACTTATCCCAGTAGCCAAGTATTTAGGAAAGTCTATAATTATCATTCCATCCTAAAATAAGGCCTCTTCACAGCATCATTACTGGACAGCTGCTAATGAGATCCTCAGATATTTTCCTAACCAAGTCTTTGCTGGGATGTTTCAAAACGAACAAACCCATACTGGCCATTTTACTGTTGGAGGCAGGGGGGGAATTCAGCAATAAGTATGCCTCCAGATCATCCCAGAAATTATCAGAAAGGGACAACACTAATACTAAATTCTGAACTACCATAATATTTTAGAACTAAAAATCCATGGCGATAAGGTCAACTCTAACTTTCCAGAGTTAACAGCCAATACTCAATAAGGACATGGGATGACTAACAAAGAATTTCTTGCCTTCCCTTCGTCAATCACAGGCAGTGCTCATGACCTTAAGAAGAAAACTTCATTAGGATGTTTTGGGTTGGGTTTGGGCTTTGGGTTTGTTGGTTTTTTTGGGGTTTTTTTGTTTTTTTGGGGGGGGTTTGGGTTTGGTGGTTTTTTTTTTTTTTTTTGCAACACTGGCTATATACAGGCTTACCTATTTTTCAAAAGTCTCAGCTCTCTCTTGCGTGTTGCCTCTTCTGCCAGTTGCTGAGGGCTATGCAAAGTCCCTGGTGAGGCTGCCATCACCACTCCCTGAGGTAAGGTGGTAGTGGGAGTTCGAATCTGGTAAGCTGGCATGTCTCCAGTGGCAGCTGTATAAAAGAATTGTATTTTAAACTTTATGGCAAAAAAGAACTAAGCAAAAGTCTCTCTGGAAATAACAGATTTCTGTTGATGAGTTACCCAGGATCCCTGCTACATAAAATATTTCACAGGCCTGTAATGTCACAACTACATTTGTTATCTTACTAGCATTTATTTCCACATTGTAAAATAAGTTATCTAAATTGCTCTAGCATGTGGCCCCACTAGCCAGCCAGACTGAAGCCTGTGAAACCTTCCACATGGCTCTTTTCAGACAACATAGGGAAAGCTGTTTGAGAAACACTGTCGGAACATCCACATTTCCTGTTTGCACGATCCCATGAAAAGATGGTCCCGCTGTTGCAGCCACTGAGGTTTATATGCTACCCCTTGTCCTCAAACAGAGGCTTCAGGAGTCAACTTTCTCCTAGCAACAGTACCAGTCTTACTGCCTCTCCTCCCTTTACAGCAGCAGTTTGGCAACCCTTGGAAAACCAGTGAGAGCTGCTGTTGCTAAAATGAAAAGGAACAGACAAGTGCTCATGGTGAACAGGAGTATGTTCCTTGAGCAAGAGGACCACAAGTAGGATACTGCAGCATTAGCAGGCAAGAGGAGGTAGTGGCAGTTGCACAGGAAGGGGTGTAGCTATACAGTAAATTGAAGTGCAAAAGTTCAGATTGAGCTCCTGAGCCTACCAGTTTTGAGCTCTCCCCAAGCTAAACACAGATCTGAAATCTGACGTGTTATTTGGAACCAACACCTTTCTGATAGTCTCACCTCATTTCTGTATTTCTGAAGTACTCTGTTCCTACATGAGGTACCCCAACTTTAAAACACTGTGAAAATCCTAAGTACTTGTGTCTTGTCTGAGACAGAAAAATATCAAACAAAACCAATGTATCCCTCTTCAAATTATTTACCTATTCCTTTCCATAAATATTTTATATTATGACAGAACAAGACTTCATATTTTGTCATTAAAGCAACCAAATATAAAAGATGGAATTTCAGAGGCTGTTATGTTATACTTAATTTATAGTTTAATTCTTTAAAGCAATATTCAAATAATGGAAAAACTTCACTTGGAAAAATAAAATGTAGACAAAAACACTTTGGGGAGGCTGACAGGTAGAACAGTAAAGACACATCAGTCAACTACAAGGGGGAAAAAAACAAAAACAAAACCTAAACTTAAGAAAAAAATTACTATTATTCTTACTAAGTTAATGCAGGTGCTTCACTAATGAAATTAAAAAAATAGGATCAAGCTGTGTTTAGACTACAATTCCCCAGCCATGTCCTGAAATCATTATCAGCTTAAACACTGTGCACCTCCCCCCCCACCCCACCCCCGTCTCAGTCCTGCGGGTAAAAAGTGTTTGTGGAACTACAAGATGAACTGGACCAGTGAACTGGCCTGAGTTACGGGTAATTCCCTGGGGATGGGGGAGGGAGAGAGAAATCATCCCAGGACAGCCCTGCGGGCACTAACAGGCAGCCTCAGTGAACACAGGGCTTAGTCTTCTTGTACATCTACAAGAAAATTACTTAACCCTTTCTTTAAGTTCTCCACATCTCACAGCAGTCCCAGTTATGTCAATGGGACAATACTTCAGCTCACTGTTTATAAAAATGGAATTTTAGAAACTCTTCAGACTCATCTTATGCTGGCCACATTACATACATTGTATAGACTCTATGGTAAGAACTACCATTTTCTATCATCACTAGGTAAAAGAAGAGATGTTATCTCAGCTTGCATTAGCTACAATGAATTAGAAATCTAAGTGAACCATTTTGTAGATCAAGTCATGGGGAAAGACCCATTACCCAGGTCATGTCAGCCCAGCAAGACCAACTACTTTGTCGTCTTTGTTTGATTTACACTCAGATGTTAGCTAACCGGACTTACTGCTGCTGTTGTTAAGAGGACTCAGTATGACAATGTACCTGCAACATGGCTTAACGAAACTGAGTCCCTATCTCAGCTGCAATCAGCAAACACCACTGTAAGTAACATGTTGCATGAATAGTTTGAGCAGGTTCCAGTAGTGTCTGTCCCTGCCTAACAGTTGGCTCACTTATAAACCTACCAGTGTGGTAACAGATAAATAACCATTTTGGCAGTATAGACCTTGTAAACCCAGACGCCGCAGTTAAAAAGAAAAAAAAAAGTGTAGCATTGACAAAGTATCTTTTCATTGTGCAGCAATATGTGGTTTATGATACATTACTGCAAATCAATTATTTCAAAGTCTGCAAAATTTTTTGTATAATATCTCAAAAAGTTAAAATACTGTTTCCCCTGAAAAAGACATTGGGAAAGATGAAACAGCCTTTAAGCAGGGGGAATAAAATACCCTTGAAAAAATTCATAGTTTAAGTCTAGTAATGTATCTACATATTACAGAGAAGGGTACCTTCCATTTCAGCATCTGAGGCCAAAATCCCACACCCTGATCCAGACTGACAAACCTCTGTGGCAGTTTCTAATGGAACTCCATGGAGGTTTAAAGTCATTCCTAATGTAACAGACATAGGACTGAGACTGTTAGCAGAGCAACAAACCTGGAGATGGTGTATCTCCCTAACACATTGCCCCAGGTCACCTTGTCATCTTTTTTTTTTTTTTTTTTTCCTCTCTCCTTAAAATTGCAAGGGAGTAAAAAGTCACTGAAAACCTGAAGCTTTCAGTTGAAGCTTACAAAAAGGAAATTATTAACCGGAAGACAAACAAACAAAAAACCAACCGAAAAACCAAACCACATTCAGAAGAGTACAACTAACCCTGTAAATTAAGCTCTGAGAAATAAATAAATAAATAAAATTAAATTAAAAAAACCCAACTAAACAAACCAAAAAATCATCCACCTTCTATGTGCAGGTTCTTGGAAAAAGTAACTTGCTGAACACTAGAGAGCATCCCTGCACTTGAGTTCTTTCAGTGACTATCCAGGAGAAAAAAAGCCTGATACATGCTATGTATTAGTATGTCTATTCTCCCCTTCTGTGAGTCATAATGATGGGACTTAGATTATCAAAGGGTTTTTAACTTCACCACTAAACCGGCTAAACAAGGCATGAATCGTTATCCCTTTGAGCATAAAAAAACCACAAAATGTCGACTTGGAGAAGATACTTATCTTTGGATTAATGAAACAATATGTACCAGCAATGAGCAGCAGCACGTAGGTACCGGCTGCAAACAGGTTAACATTACAGATCTGCCGGAGGCAATTGACGAAGCAGAAAGGAACTGACTAAATCGCAGCATGACTTGGAGCTGACGTCAATGTGTATCTTGTTTGGAGTTTAACTTTTCCAGTTCCCTACTGCAACACGATTCCAGGAAATCTAATGACGTCAGCCTTTTGAACTCGATTAGCTAAGGAACAGACCATTTTAACAGTGGAGGAGAAAACAAGCAGGCGTTACGCTACTTAAAATTATTGTGCTCTCAAATTTGTGTTCAGTATTTTCTTTAATAATGAAAGCACAGGGTTTATTTACACTGCTGAAACCATGCACACCTTTCTCTTACAGCTATGCTTAAGCCTATTTGAGCTATCAAATCTGAAGTGTTTATTGCTAAACAAAAAAGCAATGTCATTTTTATAAAACAAAAAACAATTATAAACATAGCAACATATATGACTACCTCCACAATAAAGAAGAATTTAAGAGTGCTGGATTTTTCAGCAAAATCATGCATCAAATAGTAAAGATTAGTTATCTGAATCAATCTGTGCAAGAACTCATGCACTAACCGTGATTTTTTTCCCCAAATGAAACTGTTAAAATTGCCCTGAAATCCTACACTGACTAGATAGAACCAGAAGCTGTTTGTACCAGTTTTGAAAGATGAAGGAGTTACAGCAACAGGTTCAAAAGAAAATATCACAAATACCAACTAAGCACTGCTTAGACATCCAAAAATATCATGTAAAAGACTAACAAAATTTTTACCTGTTTCATCTCCTGTTACAGCCATGATCAGCTTCTGCACACACGATTCTCCTGTTCTTCTACCAGAGCTCAGTGTGAACTGTTCCAAACTAGCAAGCATGTGCAGGATTACAAGCAAGAGCACTGACATCACAGTGACCTCACTTGCTTACCACTGTCATTAATATGCTCTGTCACTGGAACAGCTCACTGAAACTGGAGCCCAAAGAACTCCTTTTCCAGTAAACATTTTTTTTTCCTTCCTCTTCCATATTTCTATAAGCCTAGCTTTGTTCTTTTCCCCTGAATTATTCATAAAGCCACAGAAAGCACTCACCACAAAGCTGGCTGTAAAGCAAGACCTGCAAATTCACAGCACTGACTGACAGAAATTAAAACGTGGCTCTAGAATTCATGAATGAATGCAAATGAGTAAGTCATGATTGGATAGAAAATAGGGAAATTTTAAGACGACGTGCAATTGTTTTGATCAGAGCAATTCCACTAAAAGGCAGAGAACTCTGCCAGACAGACATGCACGACAGGAAAGCTTAATAAGCTTTAACAAATAGGTAAATGAAAGGCTAACGCTCCTTGCCTTGGGGGGGAACCCACAACCCACTCAATTTCAGTTAAAAGCTTCAGAAAAGATTGAAGAAAGCTCCAAAGTCAGTCAGCTAAAGCTAGTGATTTTCAGATGCTGTAACAGGCAGAACAGTAACTCTGGGTAAGGGCTACCTCTCCCCCATTCCCTCCTTTTCCAAAATAAGTCCAAGAGATCTGGTTGACTTAGTTTTAAAAAATAAAAAATCGAAAGAAAAAAAAAAAATCAGCTCTAACGTAGTTACTCCTTATCTACATCAATTTAAATGACGTTAGTTGCAGACCAACAGTCCAGGCACTGGTCTGTATGTAGGGCATAGCAAACTTCTAAAGCCTTCATCTGTAATAAATTCAGACTGGTAATTCATCAACTGTGAAACTATGCCAAGGACAGCAATAATGGAAGCATCAATGCAAAAAAAGGAGCACCCTGTGACTACAGGACCGCTTTTTATTTGATGCAGGATTTTGCTGAAAAATCCAGCACTCTTCTTTTTAATTCTTCTTTATTGTGACGGTAGTCATATATATTGCTATGTTTATAATTGGTTTTTGTTTTGTAAAAATGACATTGCTTTTTTGTTTAGCAATAAACACTTCAGATTTGATAGCTAAAATAGGCTTAAAAAGCCTATCATATGAACAGAAGATCAGAACTGAAGCACGCAAGAAATTCAAGCCACAGATCTCAAATATCACTGTCTGTATCACTGACCATATTATGAAAACACACATAGATCCCAACAGAATGATTATTGATACAACTTTTCTACACTCATTTTCACTAATAATTAAGCACTTGCTTTTGCTTCAGCTAGCAAAAAATCCTTAACCTGTATTAGGAAACTGTCAGGACATCAGGACTGCCTCGTGCTTCGCCTATGAATGTAAACTTGTAGCAGATGAAATATCACTCAGCTGGATCAACACCTTTGGCGCTTTTATATTAATCCTTGTCCCCATCAGAAAAAATCAAGCACAGAGTTTATGTGATGCCATCCATTATTACATGAGATTCATCAGCAAATACTTTAGAAAACATATGAATACATATGCTATCTGAAAGATTCTGAAACAGATCTTTTCTGCCCTAGGATTGATCTTTGTTACTTTTTTTTTTTCCTTTCTTTTACTTCTATAAAATTTATATGCTGTCTACCCAAAATCATTATAAAAATATACGTAAGTGGAAAGATTAATAAGCAGAATGCTCCCTTCCTATTATAATATGTGCTATCATGATATTAGGTGAATTCCATTGTCTAACTCTATCCTGAATAACTCAGGTTTGCTGACGATATGCAATTACTATCATAAAGAGACCTGTATTACTGTAAACATCCTCAGGTGCTTTCATACTCTTTTTTTTATTAAAGATTTTTTTTTTTTTTAAGATTTTGCAGTATCAATAGCATGTATAATGAGTTGAAACCTTTTATCTTCTCATCATCTCTGAGTTCATGCTTACTTACTAGTCCCTTTATATTTTTCCCTGCATATGTTATGTAGCATTTTTCTTTGGTGTCAACAGCTATGAGCATCACTAAAGCACCAGATTTTGTTTGGGCCAAAGGAACAGGGAATTCCAAGAAGTCAACTTCTCTGAGCATGGACAGAGAACAAATCAGTTTAGTTAAAAGTATCTAGAGACTTCCAGAAAGACGATATAGCAGGTATTCAGTAACTGTCTCTGAATCCATTTTGAAAGTTCTCATCACAGGCAAGACACTTAATGGGCTATACCATCAAGTAGGCAAACCCATCACTGAGACTGAAGAGGGAGGTTAGAGGACAGCCCCGTCAGAAGACAACCCTGTCATGAAAAGTCCGTGAAGGCCACTCAGATGAAATTCCCAAGGACTGAAAGGCTGCCAGATACAATCCCTAAGTGCTATGCTTCTTCACAGACTGGGGAGGTTTTAGGAAACAACTGAGGAGCTACTCTCTCTGCCCCCCGACCCCCTGAAGAATCTGAAAGAATCAAAGCAATACAAACAAAATACTACAGTCAACCTGGAGAGACAGAGAAGACCTCTAATTGAAGGGGCGTGTATGCATGTGTATAGAAAACATATTAGACTCATAGTCAGAAAATATGCACTATCAGAGTGGGAGATTTGTTTGGGGGACAGCCAAATTTGGGTCTTAAGGTTTTGCTAAGAATGTATTATTAATAATATTTACAGAACTTATAACAGTACTCTCTGCATGATACAAACTAACATTTTGGCTAAGGGTTTTTCATACTATAGTCTTAGAGCTTCCTTGAAAAGCTTCGGAAACATCTTGGGAAGACAATGTATTTCAGCAAAGAATTAACCAGAGGCACTGGAAGAATTTGGTATCATTATTTAGCATCATCTCATCCAGTTCAGATATCTACAGGCTATTAGCTTTATTTACATCCTGGGCTTCCTTTACAGCAAAGGGAGAGAAACAGCCACTTAAAGACAGACCTTATTTCAACCATCCATATGGGGGCAAAAAAAGCACCTCAACCTGGACTTCACCAACTATCTCAGATATCTGTGTCTGCATTTAATTGATGACTCTCATCCACTCCATGAATACATATTTAAGTCTTCCTAGCTCTTCTCATGGGTTATTTGAGATAACTGTTTTGGCTTAAGAAAGCATTCGTACAGCCCTCCCTCCCTACTTCTCTGCACCAATTAAAAAAACAAAAATAGGGAAAATAAATTCCCTATATCCTCCATGGCAGCCACTAATTTGCTGTCTCCATACAGAAATATCTTCCCCATTTTCAAAGGTTTTCTTCAGCATAACCCAAATCCCAACCCTACTTTCCCTGGTATCGATAAGAATCCAAGATAGCTTTGGTTCTCAATCTCCCTCAGCATTTCCAAAAGGCTGGGAACAGTGGAAGGAAAAAAAAATCCTGCATAAACTACAGTAAAGGTTCAAGAATTCACTATTCACAGTTCAATTCACATGTGTGCATTTTATAGGACCTACAAAGCTTTCTTCTGTGAGAAAACTAGCTTCAGTAAAGGATCTCCTTTCTAATAACTACAAGAGTTGTAAGTTGCAAGGAAATTCTGCCCGAAGCATGTCCAAAGAACTGCAGAACTTGTGTTTTACTAAGATTGACTGACCGCCAAAAAAACCAAATTAGTTTCATATATTAAATGAGATGCACCCTCAGCATCTCATTTCAATCTGTAACAGCACCTTTACTGCAATTAAACATACCTCTCAAAGTCTGGACAAGAGAATTCAAAGCAGAAAGTGATTTTATACTGTTATTTCCTCCTCATAACTTTTTTAATCAAAAGTAGCAGCTGCTTTACTGAGCAGAGAAACTGACTCTCCTCCTAAGACTGTCTTTCATCTTGTTATGTATAAATATTTTCTTTAATAGTGCAATAACGTCAACACAAAATAAAAAGCCTTTTAATAAAAATTGTTTTATATGAAAAAACTAAAATGCAGTAGACTAATAAAATATACCTTGAACAACAACTTGGCTTCCAGGAACAAAAAACTGTTGTGTGCCATCAGGTGATTGTCCTGCATATTGCACAATGGTAGCACCTGGCTGAGGAGCTCCTGAATTTGTCATTGCTAATGTCTGTAGTCCATGGACACCATCAGAGGCTGGATTAGAAATCTGGATTGCACCACCTTGACTTATAGTAACTAAATATAAAAAGGAAAAGAAAAGTTAGGTAATAGAAAGAGATAACACATGTTAAAAAACACATCTCCCTTTTTAAAATAAACATTTTCTGATAGGACTCCTGGTCCTCTCCTTGCTTAAAGGCCAATTGTACAAGAAAACCTAAATAATGTTAATACTGATTTCCACAAATATAAAGCCTGTTGTGTAGTACATACCATGTGTAAAACAGATAAAAAGCAGTGTTCCACATACTTTTATCTCTATGCTTCCAGAAATATTAACTCTCATAAAATAGTTATAATACAAGAAAAAAGAAGAAACAGTAGCTCCTGACTATAAAGAATCACTGTTGTTTTAAACACTAATGTAAAAAAGTTATTTAAAAAAAAAATAATAAAAAGCTGATTATTGACTCCCACAAAACAAACCCCTGGACATCTAGACAAAGGAATAGCAAGTCTTCTGACACTCACAATCCTTCCCTTAGTGTGAGAGAAAGTCTCACCCAACAATGTTTTTCCAAGCTGTACAAAGCTGTAAAGAGTCTGATACTTATGTAAAAAGAGAAACAGAACAAAGTTTTTCTTCTCCCCCATGTAATCAACAATATGAAAAATACAAACATACCTTCCCCATTAAAAAAACATAGAATCATATTGTGTTGCTCACCATAATTAAATATTTAGACAAAAATCAAATTCCCTAGAGAGGTTATTAATTGTATATTCCTTTTGAAATTATCATTGTCTTTGTTAAGAGCAGAAATATCACAGAATGGTTTGGGTTGGAAGGGACCTCAGAGATCATCTAGTTCCAACCCCCCTGCCATAGGCAGGGACACTTTCCACTAGACCAGGCTGGTCAAAGCCCCATCCAACCTGGCCTCAAACACTTCCAGGCATGGGGCATCCACAACTTCTGTTCCAGTGCCTCACCACCCTCACAGTAAAGAATTTCTTCCTAGTATCTAATCTAAATCTACCCTCTTTCAGTGTAAAACCATTATCCCCTCATCCTACCACTACACTTCCTTACAAAGAGTCCCTCCCCATCTTTTCTGTAGGCCCCCTTTAAGTACTGGAAGGCTGCTACAAGGTCTACCCAGAGCCTTCTCTTCTCCAGGCTGAACAACCCCAACTCTCTCAGCCTGTCCTCACAGAGGAGGTACTTCAGCCCCCGATCATCTTCGCGGCCCTCCTCTGGACCTGCTCAAGCAGCTTCATGTCTGTCTTATGCTGGGGCCCCAGAGCTGAACACAGTACTCCAGGTGGGGTCTCACCAGAGTGGAGCAGAGGGGCAGAATCACCCTCCTCGGCCTGCTGGCCATGCTTCTTTTGATGAAGCCAAGGATGCAATAGGCTTTCTGGGCTGCTAGCACACATTGCCAGCTCATATTCAGTTTTTCATCCGCCAGTACCCCAAAGTCCTCCACAGGGCTGTTCTCAATCCACTCATCGCCCAGCCTGTATCCATGTTTGGGATTGCCCCAACTCAGGTGCAGGACCTTGCACTCAGCCTCCTTGGACTTCATGAGGTTCACACAGGCCCACCTCTCTGGCCTGTCAAGTTCCTTCTGGATGGCATCCCTTCTCTCCAGAGTATCATCCACACCACTCACCTTGGTGTCATCTGCAAACCTTCTGAGGGTGCACTCAATCCCACTGGTCCATGACCCCAACAAAGGTGTTAAATAATACTGGTCCCAATACAGACCGCTGAAGGACACCACTCGTCATTGGTCTCCACCCAGACATCAAGCTGTTAACTGCAACTCTTTTGAGTGTGACCATCCAGCCAATTCCTTATCCACCAAGTGGCCCACTCATCAAATCCAGGTCTCTTGTGTTAACTAAGATACTGAGGGAACTTTTAGATGAGAACCCAATTCCCAAGAAGTAACAAACTTCTTTCTCCCCAAAAGATATCTAAATTACAATCACTGTCATTGTATTTAAATTGGTCTGAGATGGTACAAAAGTCACATATAAGTACAGATTCAGGATTGCCAACTCCTCTGATTTCACTGTCAGATTCACAATACTTGATTACATTCTTGAAGGTTCAGATCTGGTTATATGAGTACATGATTTGTTAGGCATCCATGTGTGTTCTGGAGATAGCTGATTTCAAATGTTCTGTCTTGACAATGGTAGGTTATCTTGAAAGGGCAACATCAGATAATAACACTTCAAAGAGCGCTGAAATACTAACAGTTGATTAGTAAGCTGTTATTAGTAAATTAGACAATAGTAACTATCTACTAGAAGCTCAGCTAATTTTTTGAGAGTGTAGTAGACATATCTACCAAAATGGCCAAATCCCAGCAGCTAAATTAGCTTCTTTTTGGGGAAAATGGGGAATCCCTCTCATGCTGAATGAAGCACTGAGCCCTATCTGCAATACTGGAACAGGGTTCAGCATGGACCTCCAGTCCTACCCTTGGAATTGGCAACATGTAATGTAGGAACTAGCTGGGTGCTGCACGCAGGCTCCATAAGGCATTGGGGGTCAGGGGGTTGGAAGGAGCAAGATGTTATTTTGGTCTGGCCTCCAAAGCAGGAAGTGCCCCATTTTGGGGCAGGGTGGAAGAGAGAAGCAAGAAAAATTAATCATTGTCTCCTCTATTCTTCCTGAGAGCAGGACAAGAGCAGGTTACCAGTGGCACATGAGCTTCCCAGCAGGATCTGTCACCTCTACCTCCCAGAGAAGTTACACACAGCTGAGTTCTGCCTCTCACAGAGTTAGCACCAAAAACGTCTACACCATCACAGTACCATACCATATAAAAACCAGTCAGTTTGGGTTCCTGAACAGTAAAACATCAATACACACAACATACAAAGTTCTTGGCTCCGCTATGAGCCTGGATAAACCATTATGTCACAGCTGTCCTGCAATTATTCATTCAGATCACAATCCAGTACTTTCTAAACAACAGTGAATTAACTCCAGTAACTCTCTCCCTTACTGGACTGATTCCTGCCATTTTACCAGAACACCGCGCTGTCCCCGCCCCATTCACTGTCCTGATCTCAACCACTGCACAGACTTCTGTTGTGTCGGAGCTCTACTGGAAATTGGGCCTTCTATAAAGAGTATACGACTTTCCTGGACAGCATCTGGAGTTGTACATCATGCAGGTAGATACAAGTGGCATCTTTGCGTCTAGCTAGGACTGAATATGATACTAATACCATTCTCTGAGTATCATCAACAGCTGTAATCCAGAAAGATCAGATCTTTCTCTCCCTTCCAAAACGGGGAAAAGCAACTAAAGTTGTGCTTTCCCAAAAGATTTCTTAACTCTCCAGCTGTTAAAAACCTGTCCTAAGACAGCAAGCAACCCAAACAGATGGTAAAAGAACTAGTAATCTTCATTTCCCCTGCATTGTTTCGGACAGAACATCATGATATGCACAAGTAGGCAAGGGGTGGGGGGGGGGGGGGGG